ACTGGAATTGGCCCAAAATAGGGCTCAAATTGGGCGAAATCGCTGATGTGTAAACATCGCCGAGACCGCTAACTTCGCGAGAGCATAATTCCTTAAGTTTTCCATCAAATTTCATACTTTTGGTGTCATTATGATCGGGAAAAGATTTTTTTCATTTGAAAAAAGTAGTTTTTTTTCTGAAAAATTGCCGACCCTGAGAACAAGTTTAGGAGAGGACCTGCCGACCCTGAAAGGGTTAAATTCACCAGCAAGTAACAAGTGGTGTATATTCATCTCTGTGTCCGTTATCGTGTTTCTTAGCCCTTTGACTGTTTTGGTCGTATATATACGTCTTACGAGCCACCATTTTTGACGTATATATACTCATAAATTCTAGCGGCTTCAAATCAAGCAGGAGAAAGCTGGTAGGCCCACATGTGAGAGAATGGGTCTGTGTGGTCAGTGTGCACCATATAAAAAAAATCCTGGAGCACGCAGTGCATAATGAGAAAAAAAAACTCCGACCGTTTTTTTTAATTAAAATGCCGACTTTGTGGTCTATTTTCGTATAGTATTTATGGTTGTATTCTCGTTTTCTTGGTCTCATTTGATAGAATGGAAAGCATATTATAGAAATAGAGGTGATTTTGATTGATTTTACTATAAAAAGAACCTAGAAATGGAGCTCAAAGTAGGGTAAATGTTTGATTTTTGCCAATGTTCAAAAGTAAACAAATGATGCCATTGTCCAATAAATGTCCAACTAGCCATTCTAATATGCAGTCATGAATGGGTTGACATTATTTATACAATTATTACAATATTGCAGTAGTCTGCATAACAGTAAATCTTCTATTATTTGTTTGAATAAAAATTCAAAATAGAAAGCAAGAGTAATATCAGAGGGGCCTGGAGACATGACTGATGAGCAAAGAAAAAGTTATTTTAGAGTCAGGAATGTCTGCATTGCTCATTCTAGACACTATTTTGAAATTGTTATACTTTTTAATTTTCATGAAATTGGCCAAATTGCAAATTTCTGACCACATTATTGGGTAGTTGAAATCGGTAAATGGGCAGTTTCTTGTACTCAATTGATAGGAAAAATGAAGTTCTAAAGAAATAGCTATGAGTTTGGTCACCTGGAACAATAGAATTAGCCGAACATAGGGCTCAAAGTGGGTGAAATCGCCGATTCGTAAATATCGCCAAGGTTGCTAACTTCGCAAGAGCGTAACTCCATCAGATTTCCATCAAATTTTGTTCTTTTGGTGTCATTACAATCAAGAAAAGATTCTCTATCATTTCATAAGCAAAAATAATTTTTTTTTTTTTTTGAAATTTTGTGGCACCAGGAGACACCTCAGGAATTGGGGCTGCGACAGTCAAGGGGTTAATCCTTTCAGGGTCCGTGTCATAGATCTATGGCTTTATGTTGAGGGTCCAAACCGTAGATCTACGCCATGAGCTCAGCTCACTCTGATGAGCTGTAAGCGGTAAATCTGGGCCTAGATATGAGAGAATACATTTATGTGGTATGTGTGCACCACATAAAACAAATCCTGCAGCACATAGTGCATAATGAGAGAAAAAAAACTGAGAACATGATTTTCGATTAAAACAGTGACTTTGCAGTGTTTTTTCATATGTTTTTATAGTTGTATTTGTGATTTCTTGGTCTCATTTGATAGAATGGAAGATATATTACAGAAATAGAGATGAATTTGATTGATTTTAGTACTAAAAATGGCTTGAAACTGAGCTCAAAGTAGCGGAAATGTTAAATTTTTGCCGATATTCAAGAGTAAACAAATGATCCCACACGTCTAATATACGCCAGCTGGTGGGTCTAATATATATTTACAAATGTGCTGATATTATTTATACAATTATTACAATATTGCATAACAGTAAATCTTCTATTTTTTGGTTTGAACAAAAATTCATTATGTGAATAAAAAATCAAAATAGAATTCATTTGTAAAGCCTGAAAACATAACTAATGAACAGAGGAAATGTTAGTTTAGTGCCAGGAATGTCTGCATTGTTTATTCTGGATCCTATTTTGAAATTGGAATATTTTGAACTTTGCATTAAAATGGTCAAATTACCAATTTCCAATCACTTTATTTTGTAGTTGAAACAGTTGAGTTGGTGATTTCTTGTGCTCAATCGATAGAATAGAAGTAATGTTAGTGAAATAGCTAAGAATTTGGTCGACTGGAATAATGTAATTGGCCTAAAATGGGAGTCAAAGTCAGCAAAATCGCCGATGCGTAAATATCGCTGACATATCAAAATTCGCGAGAGCATAATTTCATCAGTTTTCCATCAAATTTCGTACTTTTTGTTGTATTACCTTCAGAAAAAGATTCTCTACCATTTCATAAGAAAAAATAACAAAATTATTTTTCGAAAATTCTTGGACACTGGTGCGTACTTCGAAATTTGGTCTCTGGACCCTGAAAGAGTTAAGTTGGCACTAAATGTGTATTTGTGTGAGGTAATGTATAGACGGCTCCAATTGCTATTTTTTTTTTAGGTTTTCAGATGTGAGTTTGGCAAATATATATTCACCATATTCGTTCCTGGTGCAAGTCGATTTATTACATTTTAGTTCATTATAGCAGTAGATAGCTCCTCCTGTTTGATCAGGTCTGCTGTTGTGTACGGCTGTGCAACCAGATATGGCAAAGATGTCTGTTAAATCACGTTCGAGCCAGGTTTCATCTCACTAATATTGTGAAGACAACGTAATTACAGACAAGATGTAAATTTACCCTTTCATATTGTTAAATAAATTGGTTTACTACGGTAATTTTTATTTGTGAAATAAATACGCTTGTTTATAGTGTTAGATGAGTTGTTGTTTTGAATTTGCAGTAAAGTTAATACCAAGAAAGAGGTGTATTCGTATGTGTGTGTGTAGGGGGGGTGCCTAAATATGTGGCCTGGGAGCCAAGGTGGCACCAGCCTGAAAAAGTCTGGGAAACTGGAGGCTAAAGCTCTCGCTTCACACACGGAGGGCCCGGGTTTGATTCCCGGCTGGGTGGAAACATTTCGATGTGTTTCCTTATACCTGTTGTCATGTGTACCTAGCAGCAAATAGGTACCTGGGTGTTCGACTGGTGTGGGTGGCATCCTGGGAGACAAGACTGAAGACCCCAATGGAAATAAGACAGACAGTCCTCGATGATGCACTGACGTCATTCTTGGGTTATCCTGAGTGGCTAACCCTCCAGGGTTAAAAATCCAAAGAAAATCTTATTTTAACCAATGGACTAGATGAATATTGAAAAGTTTTGTGTTATGTCTAAATGTGTTGCAGCTATTAAGGAAGATTTCCAGAGAAGTGTTTATTCTAGAATCGACTGTCCTGTGTCAATAGAATACTCTCAAAACTAGTCACAGGTACATCAGTATTATATATCCAGAATGCTATTAAGTGGGAGCTGAGGGAACCTAAGCTTTAGGCCTATCACCAATAGGCCCAACAAAAAATTGGATTTATTTCAGAGATTTTGAGGCGCTTGTACTTTTCCTCAACGAATAAATATAAAGCTTAAAGACCTTATTAAAAAACACAAACTGAGTTAGAATTAAGAATTCAAAAAAATTTTTAACATTTTTTAATTGAAGTGCATAGCATAAGCCTGCCACAAATTCTCAGTTCAAGGCCTAGAAATTCTTTAATCCTGCCCTATTAATACCAATACCAAGAACAAAAACCATACCATGGGCGGGGATTGAACTCGTGGCGAGTCAATACAAAGCTGTGGGGATGTGAGGATATCAAAGGAGAATTTAGTGATAGCTGCAGTTGCAGGAATTAGAAAGAGCCTACAAACTGACCCAACTTTGCTGAGATGGCTGCATAAATATTGTATTTTCAAATTAGTGGTCAGTAGAAATTGTAGTAATATTGGTAGTAACATTACTAGAGGTAGTAGAATTAGCACAAATAATAATAGTATTCTCTCTTCTACATAGAGTATTACAGTAGGACCCCCCGTATCTGTGGGTCCAGTATCCGTGGGTCCAGTATCCGTAGGTCCAGTGTCCGTGGGTTCAGTATCCGTGGGTCCAGTATCCGTGGGTCCAGTGTCCGTGGGTCCAGTATCCACAGTGTCAGTTATCCACGGTTGACCGTGGCCCAAAATTAACCCTTATTTTTGCTTAATAATGACCTCAAAGTGCAAACGTAGTGACGGTGGAAGTTGTTCACAACCTAAGAGAAGCTGTGAAGTGCTTCCCGTCACTGATAATTCTCAACTTACTCTGCATAATTTATCAATTGAACTTTACAATAGGTATGTATGTAAATGAAAAGCAGCTTATATATAGAGCTCGCTACTATCTGCGGCTTCAGCATCTGCGGCTTCAGTATCCACGGCTTCAGTATCCACGGCTTCAGTATCCACGGCTTCAGTATCCACGGTTTCAGTATCCACGGCTTCAGTATCCACGGCTTCAGTATCCACGGCTTCAGTATCCACGGCTTCAGTATCCACGGCTTCAGTATCCACGGCTTCAGTATCCACGGCTTCAGTATCCACGGCTTCAGTATCCATGGCTTCAGTATCCACGGCTTCAGTATCCACGGCTTCAGTATCCACGGCTTCAGTATCTGTGGCTTCAGTATCCGCAGCTTCAGTATCCACGGCTTCAGTATCTGTGGCTTCAGTATCTGTGGCTTCAGTATCCACGGCTTCGGTATCCACGGCTTCGGTATCCACGGCTTCAGTATCCACGGCTTCGGTATCCACGGCTTCAGTATCCATAACAGGTCCTTGGAAAGTAACCCTTGTGGATACAGGGGTCCTACTGTATTGTTATTACCATGGGAAGCACTAAACCAGTAGGGATTATACAGCACTCATGATGGGGAGGGGGATGGAAGGTATTTAGGTTTAATTCGGGGAATTGGAGCACAGATCCAATTCCCTAGATCAAGAGCCCTACACCAGCATCAAGGAACCTCCCTTGAGGGGTCTTCCATATAGACTATTTTAAAACAATACCTGCGTATGTTGTCTCCACCTTCTGGATAAGTTGTAGTTTTTATAAGCCTTCTTAAGTTCTTGTAAAATACAAAACTGGAGTCACTGTACAGTCACTGTAGTTGTTTCACTGTCGTGTATCATCCTTCACAGTCACTCTGAAAAATATAAGTCTCAACAATAGCATTATCGTGATAAAAACAACTGTCAAACTGCATATTAAATGTAATTATATAATAGTTGAATGATATACAACTCATGAAGAATATTGGAACTTGTATTTCAGTGATTTTCCACTACTGCGAGATCAAAGAAACATTGTATACAGTGGACCCCCGCATAACGATTACCTCCGAATGCGACCAATTATGTAAGTGTATTTATGTAAGTGCGTTTGTACGTGTATGTTTGGGGGTCTGAAATGGACTAATCTACTTCACAATATTTCTTATGGGAACAAATTCGGTCAGTACTGGCACCTGAACATACTTCTGGAGTGAAAAAATATCGTTAACCGGGGGTCCACTGTATATGGGTAGGCCCTGCTTATACAGCAGGTTATGTTCTGGAGCCCTGCTTATACAGTAGGTTATGTTCTGGAGCCCTGCTTATACAGCAGATTAGATTCTAGGTTACTGCTGTACAGGAGGACCCGCTTATACAGTAGGTTAGGTTCGGTAGCTCTGCTTATACAGCAGGTTAGGTTCTAGGTTACTGCTGTACAGGAGGGTCCTGCTTATACAGTAGGTTAGGTTCTGTAGCCCTGCTTATACAACAGGTTAAGTTCTAGGTTACTGCTGTACAGGAGGGTCCTGCTTATACAGCAGATTAGGTTCTAGGTTACTGCTGTACAGGAGGGCCCTGCTTATACAGCAGATTAGGTTCTAGGTTACTGCTGTACAGGAGGGCCCTGCTTATACAGCAGGCTAGGTTCTAGGTTACTGCTGTACAGGAGGGCCCTGCTTATACAGTAGGTTAGGTTCTAGGTTACTGCTGTACAGGAGGGCCCTGCTTATAATGCAGGTTAGGTTTTAGGTTACTGCTGTACAGGAGGGTCCTGCTTATACAGCAGCTCGGTTCTAGGTTACTGCTGGAACCTAATACATATAAAAGCCTGATAAAATGTATACACTATCACATATTAAACCAAAAATAAAGTCGCAGTTTTTTCCCCGCTATGCACTGCATGCGGCAGGATATTTTTTATATAGTGCACACGTACCACATCGACCCATCCTCTCATATCTTGGCCCAAATTTACCACTCACAGCTTATCTGAGCAAGATGAGCTAATGGCGTAGTTCTACGGCACAGACAGAGATTTCATACACATTGTACTACAGCACGAACAGAGACTTCATACACGTTCTATGGCATGGACAGAGATGTCATACGTGTTGTACTGTGGCACGGATAGAGACTTCATACACGTTCTATGGCATGGACAGAGATGTCATACGTGTTGTACTATGGCATGGATAGAGACTTCATACACGTTCTATGGCATGGACAGAGATGTCATACGTGTTGTACTATGGCATGGATAGAGACTTCATACACGTTCTATGGCATGGACAGAGATGTCATACGTGTTGTACTGTGGCACGGATAGAGACTTCATACACGTTCTATGGCATGGACAGAGATGTCATACGTGTTGTACTATGGCATGGATAGAGACTTCATACACGTTCTATGGCATGGACAGAGATGTCATACGTGTTGTACTATGGCACAGATAGAGACTTCATACACGTTCTATGGCATGGACAGAGATGTCATACGTGCTGTACTATGGCACGGATAGAGACTTCATACACGTTGCACTACAACACGGGTAGCAAAGTGCTTATTTATTTATGTATTTATTTTATGTCTTTGCAATAGTGGGTTGCAGTGCAACGAGAGCCTCTATTATGCCTAGGCATAATACTGCTAGTTAAATAAGAACATAATAATGGAGGAACACTGCAGAAGGTCTACTGGCCCATGCAAGGCAGGTCCTTAATAGAATATATCATACCATATTTCACACCATAAATGAGTAATATATTTTATTCAAAAAAAATCAAACAAAAATAAAATAAAAAATTATGGATATCTGCCTAGATCAAATTAATATATTCACGACTCACTATAAGCTAAGAATGACAATATTTTAAGCTAAGTAATGTGTGTACTGTATATGCATTTTTTAGGCCTAACTACTGCTCACTTAACCCGTAAATGGTCCAAGCAGATCTACGTTCACATGTGTAGTGATACAAAAGTTGATTGAAGTTTTTTTTACATATTTTCAAATATAAAAAAAAAGTAGATTGAAGTTTTTTACACATTTTCAAATGCAAAAAAAAAAACAAAAAGATCTACTTTTTTTTACATAGTTTCAAATGTTGAAAAAACATATATATATGTTTGGACCGTTTACGTGTTAATATATTAGTGTAAACTTGTTATCAGGCTTTTGTATGCATTTGAAAGTGAAAAAAGACTTTCACTTTACAACAGTAACCCCAAAACCTAAATTGCTGTGTAAGCGGGACCACCGTGTATATGCAGCGGCAGCAGCAGTGGCAGCGGCGGCGGCGGCGGCGGCGGCGGCGGCGGCGGCGGCGGCGGCGGCGGCAGCAGCAGCAGCAGCAGCAGCAGCAGCAGCAGCAGCAGCAGCAGCAGCAGCAGCAGCAGCAGCAGCAGCAGCAGCAGTAGCAGTAGTAGTAGTAGTAGTAGTAGTAGTAGTAGTAGTAGTGTGTCTGGCCAACACCATCCCTCACCCTCACACCACTTCACTGACTTGACAATGTGCTGTTGGAGTGTGAGCTGTGTGACATTTATGAAGGGATTCTGGGAAACTGGTTAGTCGGACTTGAGTCCTGGAGGTGGGAAGTACAGTGTCTGCACTCTGAAGAAGGGTGGAGATATATTGCAGTTTTTAAACTGTGGTGTTGACATATCTCTGGAAAAACAGTAATGGAGTGAGTGATGATGAAAGTGTTTCTTTTTTTCTTGGGCCACCCTGCCTTGGTGGGAAATGGCAAATATATTAAAAACATGTACAACTTAAACTGAACCATGGCAACATGTGCACTAAAGCACTTTAAATTCTAAGTAATATTTTTACACCGAGGTCAACATTAGCTACTCCATCCCAGAGCTATTACAGTGTGTCTTATTAATAACTATTTTTATTGAGTAAATGCACGAAGAGAAATTCTGGACATTCCAGCAGGGTCGGGGACCAGCCTACCATCAGCCTCTACCAAAAAAATATAATTTTGAGAAAGAATTCCAATGTACAGAAGATTATTTTGCTATTATTTTAATATATTAACCCTTTGACTGTCGAAGGGCCCAATCCTGAAGTTGCTCCTGGTGTCGCAAAATATTCGAAAAAAAAAATTATTTTTTCTTATGAAATGATAGAGAATCTTTTCCCGATTGTAAAGACACCAAAAAAACGAAATTTGATGGAAAACTGACGGAATTACGCTCTCGCGAAGTTAGCGACTTCGGCGATATTTAAAAATCGGCAATTTCGCACACTTTGAGCCCTATTTTCGGCTAATTCCGTTATTCCAGTCAACCAAACTCATAACTATTTCTTCAGAACTCTATTTTTTCTATCGATTGAGCACAAGAAACTGCCCATTTACCGATTTCAACTACCCAATAACATGGTCAGAAATTTGCAATTTGGCCAATTTCACGAAAATGAAAAAATACGACAATTTCAAAATAAGGTCCAGAATGAACAATGCAGACATTCCTGGCTCTAAAATAAGATTTTCTTTGTTCATCAGTCATGTCTCCAGGTCCCTGTGATATTACTCTTGCTTTTTATTTTGAAATTTTATTCAAACAAAAAATAGAAGATTTACTTTTATGCAGACTACTGCAATACTGTAATAATTGTAAAAATTACATCAACCCATTCATGACTGCATATTAGAATGGCTATTTGGACATTTATTGGACAATGACATCATTTGTTTACTTTTGAACATCGGCAAAAATCAAACATTTCCTGTACTTTGTGCTCCATTTCCAGGTTCTTTATATAGTAAAATTAATCAAAATCACCTCCATTTCTATAATATAGTTTCCATTCTATCAAATGAGACCATGAAAACGAGAATACAACCACAAATACTATACGAAAATAGACCACAAAGTCGGCATTTTAATTAAAAAAAACGGTCGGAGTTTTTTTTTTCTCATTATGCACTGCGTGCTCCAGGATTTTTTTTATGTGGTGCACACTGACCACACAGACCCATTCTCTCACATGTGGGCCTACCAGCTTTCTCCTGCCTGATTTGAAGCCGCTAGAATTTATGAGTATATATACGTCAAACACGGTACCTCACAAACGTATATATACGGCCGCGACAGTCAAAGGGTTAACAAAAAAGTGTGGAAAATCCTAATCCTTTCACTGCCAGTCATGTGGATCTATGTCATTAAGTTTATTTAGGCACAGGTACACATAAGTACAATTTTTGTTTTCAACAAACCGGCCACATCCCACCAAGGCAGGGTTTACCTGGAGTTTACCTGGAGAGAGTTCCGGGGGTCAACGCCCCCGCGGCCCGGTCTGAGACCAGGCCTCCTGGTGGATCAGAGCCTGATCAACCAGGCTGTTGCTGCTGGCTGCACGCAAACCAACATACGAGCCACAGCCCGGCTGATCCGGAACTGACTTTAGGTGCTTGTCCAGTGCCAGCTTGAAGACTGCCAGGGGTCTGTTGGTAATCCCCCTTATGTGTGCTGGGAGGCAGTTGAACAGTCTCGGGCCCCTGACACTTATTGTATGGTCTCTTAACGTGCTAGTGACACCCCTGCTTTTCATTGGGGGATGGTGCATCGTCTGCCAAGTCTTTTGCTTTCGTAGTGAGTGATTTTCGTGTGCAAGTTCGGTACTAGTCCCTCTAGGATTTTCCAGGTGTATATAATCATGTATCTCTCCCTCCTGCGTTCCAGGGAATACAGGTTTAGGAACCTCAAGCGCTCCCAATAATTGAGGTGTTTTATCTCCGTTATGCGCGCCGTGAAAGTTCTCTGTACATTTTCTAGGTCGGCAATTTCACCTGCCTTGAAAGGTGCTGTTAGTGTGCAGCAATATTCCAGCCTAGATAGAACAAGTGACCTGAAGAGTGTCATC